GGGGCCACCCCCGGCTGGGGCCGGGGGTGATGGGGGTAGAGTGGGGAGAGGGTGGTTGAGTGGGGCAGGCAGAGGACTAGAGAGCTGTGCAAAGGAGGAGCAGGCTGTGGAGGAAGGCAGTGCAGAAGGGTGGTGGGAAACAGTCCAGGGAGGTGGGGGGTTAGGGACTGGGGGGGTGAATCTAGCACAGAAACAGTAGATCTAAAGCGTGGGGGTCAGCAGGCACTAAGGGGGGCTGAGGTGGATGTCTCAGTGCGGCGATGGAGAAGGAGGCGGGATTTGGGTTGGCAAAGGAAGTGGGAGCAGCTGTGAGCTGAGGGGGAGAGAAAGGGGGATGTGTTGGGGTCCGACGGGGTGCTGAGGCTGCCTGAGGACCCACAGTCTAGAAGGCATCTGAGAAGGTCTGATATGCCTACGGGTGTCCCTGGGGCTCAGCCAGGGAAGTGGAGGAGATTACATGAGAGAGAATTGCCTTGCACGGCTGGACAGGATGAACTGGGAGTGAAAGGGCTGGAATAGTTTTTCCCTTTCCCCGGAAGAATGTGGAGTTCATGTTTGAAGGAGGATTTGAATGGAGTTAGATATCTAAGGCGTGTGATGTGACTGAAGGCAAGAGCTTTTTGGTGTTCTCCTAAGAAAACAGAGCATAAGGTGACCAGATGTTTGACTTGATTGTGCTGAACCTTATCTCCAGTTCCCTAATATTTGTTGTGTAATTGTGGGTATTGTAACTCCTCCCTTTGCCTTTGGAGGTTGACACTGTTTTTCTGAGGGTTGAGAGTTTCTATATTTTTAAATCATGGTGAAGCTTCTATAGGGACGGGAAAGTGTTAGGGATCAAGTTATCCTGTTGCTGCTTTGTCTTTTTAAAAAATTTGAATTTGTTTCTTTCTATTAAGCCTGAAAATAAAAATGTTACTACTGACTTTAGTTTAATGTGCTCTACACTCTTCCCTGTAAAGCCAGGCCTAAGATACTCTGGAAAGGAGATGAATATTGTGATAGTAACTAGCCTTTAGAATTTGATGTCTCATAGACGGTTTTTAATACCTAGCACAAAGGTGCTTTCTTACCCGTTTTGTTACCTGCTTAGCATTGTCAGGAGGGGACTTTATGACTGAGGTATGCAGCAATATGGTTTGTTAGTCCTTGAAAGTGTAGTTTTCTTCTTTTCTTCTATTTCTCCCTTTTCCTTTGCCTACATAAGCATTGATGGGAAAATATTTCTCTTGTGGTACAAATGACCAAGAAGAGTGAGAACATCTCAGCATCTGGGCCAAGTGATGACTCGGTCACTTTTTTCATTGAGTAGTCCATTGTTGGGTCCTGTTTCTGAGCTGAGGATTTGGGCAAGGAACGTGAGTCTGTGTTGGGTAAGATTCCCAGAAAGGAAGTCGTGCTGAGGAAGAAGAGCTGTGTGATAAAGATCCCATGTTAGATTCTTGATGGAGTTGGGAAAATACAGAAGCTCAGGCTGTCAGTATCTTACAGGGAAATTTAAAGTAAAATTATTTCAAAATTTTGAAAAAGTGTAAATGTCACTATTGTCAGAAGTCATTAATCTTTCTACTTATTTCCTGTTTCCATCTGTTGTCTCAGTTGTTTTCAGCTGGGTCCACTTCCTGTGGCTGGTCTCCAAGCAGGGTGATTTATGCAGCTGCAAAGAGGCAGTTTTATGATTATGGCTCTTGATTGCAAATTTCTGAGTTAAAAAATGTTTCTCTGGCATCCAGCACTGTGGGATTTCAGTCCCAACTGAGTTTGCATGGGAAGTTTGCTATAGACATTACCAGCTCACAGTGTAGCTGACAGAGACTGGGCCTTGACAGAGCTCTCCGTTCAGCGGACGTATGTACGTCCTTCTAAAGAGGTGTTTATACACAGAGGCTGTTTGTGCATCCAAGTACTACATGGAGCGACAGGCTACAAATACTTGGAGTGACTTGGAGTAACTTGTGTGCTTACTGCAAAGTGAGTCAGAAGGAAAGAAAACCTTCCTTTTTGGAAGTTGCACCATACTTCTGCATCATCTCTGTAAATCTGTGTGTGAACATGCCCTCGTTCCAAGTGAGGCCTGTTGTCCAAACTTAGGATGTCCTCTACATTTCTGCGTTAGGAATAGGCCTATCTCACTCAGGAGTTCTGTGCTGTGACCTGTAGTGTCTACGAGCTGCACCTGTGTATTGACCAGAATTAAAACGCGCTTCCTTCTGTGGCGATGAGGAAGGTGATGGTGACTGTTTCCTGCCAAAAATTGCTAATTAGACAAGTTGGAGGCTTGTTAATGCATGCCTTTGCTTTTCTTCTCCTTGACCTGTCAGAATCTAAGTGGGCATGGACCTTGTTCCCCCTCCCTGAAATTTTCAGTGTTTCTCCCCCCTGTATAAAATATGAGGATTGTTCTTTTCAGTACTCTGTGGGCATGCTGCTACCCTGGATATGTTGGCTCTTACATATTGTATTGGGATTTACTAACTGTGTTTATTGGAGTGTAATCCTATTTAACAGTTCTGCAAAAAAACCTTTAGAAATTCATAAAATGAATTTGCTGGAAACCTAACCGGGAGAACCCAAAGCTGGACTGAAGCAAACTGTATTTTGTCATCTTTTTCTGAAGATGATATACTTTTCCCTGAGTATAGGATTCTTCACGGATAAAACCTCTCTTTCCTTCCCTTGCTGCCCAAATCTAAGTGGAAGCCACTTTGTTGAAGCATGCTTAGTGTGCGTTGTCTACGCCTCAACAACACTGAGGAGAAAGGCAAAACCATGCATCCCTGGAATTGGGGTAGGCTCTGTGGATATACTTCTGGAGCCAAGAGCTTAGTTTCGGGTTTGCTCAGGTTTGCAAATATTGCTTGACTCACTCTGCACAGTGATCTCTCAGCGGAGATACCCAATCAGCCTAAAATTTGCGGAGTTCTTTGGCAGGCCGGGCAGCTATTTGGATACGCAGTAGAAAAGAAGTTACAAATGAAAACGTAAGTTACCCAGAAATTGGGTACGGTTACTGTTTCTGACTGGTCAACTAACTTACATTTCTTCCAGTGATCAGTTAAGAGACCACAGAAACAGGGAGAAGAAATATTTTGGAGGCACGGCTCTCACGTTAACCGGGCGCATCCTGCGGGAGCAGGCCTTCGCAGCGGCACTTTGCCATTTGACTCTCCAAGGCTTCCGAGTGCTCTGGTGCTGCTGCCGTAGAAACAGGCTGTGTCGTGCTCAGAACTGGGCCCTGCGGTTCTGAAATACCCCGTTTCATAAGAGCACTAACTCCTCCCTCCTTAAGCCTTTCCAAACACAGGCACTTTGTGAAGCTGGGGTGACTTTAGAGTGACCAGATGTCACTTTCTGGGATATACTCTTTGTTGCTATGACAGCAGCAGAGCACTCGGCGCTCTTGCAGATATCAACAGCAAAGCTTTAGTGGAAGGGTCTTTTGCTGTTTTCAACAGCACATGTCATCTCCACACTTGTTAATTCAGCATTGACGGGAGAGCTACGTCACAAAGAATATGACATGATTTAAGCCTGTTTGGGCTGCTTCTGAGATTTTTGGGTCCATCAGTGTTTCATTGCTCAGATTAAAGCGTTTGGGCCTGATTTATTTTTTTCCATAATGCTGAGCAGATAGCTCCAAATGAAATATATGCTTAGGTCCTCTTAAACTTGGGCCCACAGTATTCTAGTAAAGCAGCCAAGAGCCATCAGTATCCCCTTCTGAAGATTTTGATCTGATTTACTTGCAAAAAGACCTTCAGAAAAGACAGTGTCAGAAGTAGGAGCCTGTCTGGACTCTTGAGCTTGAGTTTAAATCATAACCAAGCATTGCAGAAAGCATGACACTAAGATTCCTGCACTTGATGAATCAGTGTCAGATATGCAGGTCTCTGTTCCTGGTGTATACGTTATTAAAAGAGAATTAATAAAATCAATGGTCATTAAATTAGTCATAACCACAAGGATTTATTCAGTTGTTCAATGCGAAGATACAGCAAGCAGAGAAGTATATCCTCTCCTGTGGTGAAGTTACAACGCCTCCTTTCATGCTTCAGTGTCTAAAAAACACCCATTCTCTAGTCTGTTCTTAAATGTGCTGCCTCATTGCTGTAGCTTGCCTGCGATAATTTTGCTCCTGTGTTTCTGTAGCTTTTCTCTTTCAGTGAAGCTTTATCTGAAGGCTAATCAACGTAATTTCTAATTGTTAATTTGACCTACTCTCTGGAGCTGATTAGATGACCTTGCCAGAGAATCAGTGGGGAATCGTTAGAGCTAGGCAAGCTCGCGCTGTGAACTTTCAGCACTCTGGCATGGTGCCCGTGGTGGCTATTTATAGACTCCTAGGAAGAATCAAGAATTGGAGAGAGCATCTGATTTGAGTACCAGGTGAATCTTGCACTGACCTGAACCAGGGTTACTGCCTGGGAGCTGCAGAGGAAGTCTAATTAGCAGATCTCTGTTTTTCCAGTCATTCAGTGCTGGTCTCTTCCTCATCCGCTTATTTAAAGCCACCTGCAATTTCAGATTGGTTTGGTATTCTTCATCTCCCAGTCAGTAGGGGCTATAAAGGCTGTGCCGTTTACTTCTAGAGATTCGTAAATACTTTAGTTTCCATCCTCTGCCAGGTGACGTGCAACTCAGTATCGCTGTTGCTGTGTCATTTCTCACTTCTCCTGTGTGTGCGATTATTCTGGAGTGCATCTTGCTGGGGCACGGATGTCGATTGCTTGCAATTTCTGCACTTGACTTTGACCTGAAATATCTTGAATTGACTTCTCTTTTATTGAGTCATAGTAAATGCAGAAACAATGTTATCAGCATTTACATAGTTCTGCTACAAAGCTAGAATTTTGACTAGGTGCTTTAAAATTGTTGAAGATATCTTTTTCCACCTGAAATGCTAGATGATAAATTGGGTGTAACACTACTCATCTGCCACTGGTATGCTGACAAAGCATGAATCCTCCAATGTATGCCAGATGTACCTCTTGCTGTACAAAGTAAAGCTTTACTTACAAAGTAAGTTGTCTTTCTAACAACGGATCTCAAATCACTGAGGCTAAAACAATGCCCTGAATCCCTTCCAACTTGCGCTGCTGCCCCATTTTCTTTTTTTCTTGTCTCTGTAAACAGCATCTCTAGCCAACCAGTCACTCAGGTCTGTAACGTAAGCGTTCTCACCCTGAAGGGTAAGACATTTATCCAAGTTTATGTCTAATGCCAGACGTAATGTTTGTTTAACATATGTAGGATATGCTTTTTCTAATTTCTTCACACAGCTAAAACTTTTGTCTAGATTATTATTATCTCACTCTTGATTATTACTGCATCCTTTCCTTTGCCCTTGAGGAGAGCAGTCTTGCCCTGCATGTATCCTTGCAGAAGCTGCCACAAAAGGTGTTCCCCAGTTACTGCTGCTAACGCTCTCTGTGCCATCCCCCACTGATGCTTCTGTCTGTATTTCATCACATCTATGCATGTGTTCATTTTTAAAACGATTCTCCCTCTGTCCCTACTGTCTGTCTGTCTTATTTCATTATCGCGAAATCTGTTTTTACCTCTGACCAGCTCATGATGCCAGCCTTCCTCACTTATTTTCATTTTCTCCCCCACTGCCTCTCATTGTGGAAGGAACTCTGTAAGGATACATGTGATTTTTCAAATCCTTCCTTGAAATGACTTTTTGCTACAATAGCTACCAAAATTTGTTAGTAGATTCTTGACATGCTGAGACTACTGCTTAGCTGCATCTTTATGTCTGTTTTCTTACACTCTTGTGCCTGCTTGAATTTTATTATTCTTGCTGAAATTGCATTTATATATAAGCTTTTAGAGGAAGAGGCTTTTTCCTGTATTTGTCTAGCATATTGCATAATGAAGTCCTGATTCATGACTGAGATTCTTATGTGCTTGGGTAATAGGACTAATTCCCATTGAGTGTACATCACAGTTCTGCAGGTGTTTAGTGTAAAGTCAAATTTACAACCTTTCCTGTTCTGTTGTGATCATGAGGTATGCTATCCTTTGTGAAGTTTCAGAATATTTGGCATTTTTAATGACTTGTAAGTGACTTTAACAAGGTTCAAAAAAATCAAAACAAAAAATGATCCCTCCCCCAAACAGTAGTCAGAAAAGCACAAAGCGCAAAACTTTCTATATAGAACGTTGTTTTGAGCAATTTGTGAACTTGTATTTAGGTACAAAACTCAATATGAATACATTTCAGGCTTGGGGCTTGGAGAGGAAGTAAATACACTTTAACATAATCTCAGTCAGTATTGAAATAGTCCTGTTCTGCCTGCTTTAGAGAACACAGGTGTTTGCACATCAGTAATCTGTGCAGTGAAGTTACCAAATAGGTAGTGGGTTTTTTTTTTTTGTTCCCTCAGCTGTCAACTCCCAAGTTAAAATATAAGCTATTCTGCCTGCCTGCCTGCAAATCTACTACAATAAATCGAACTTTAGTGATCGGCTCAGTGCAGTAGGCTATCAACAGTCAGATTTTAAGTGGTTAGGTATACTTGCTCGTAGGATATGCTATTTGGGGAAGAATAAGGCACTTATGATATGGAAGCAATTTTTGTAGACCTAGGTAGAAGTGTTGGGGAACCAGTGTGATCTTCAGCTGTAGCTGAAGTCTACAGCTTATTGTTTCTTGTCTCTTTTGCAGTTGGTGTATCCTTATGACTTCAGATTAACAGAAAAAGAGGTACAATCTTTTTTTTTGTTTTCTGTTTTTAAAGATACTGGGCAGTGGTGATGGAGAATTTTTTATTGTATGTTTTTGTTTGTTGCAGAAAACTAGTATCTGCTACTTGTCCTTCCCAGACTCCTACTCAGGTAGGTAGCATCTGTTGGCCTTGTCTGCTGTGTGCGGCGTGGTTCTTTGCCATTATGAAAGAAATGGATTCATGATGGGAAGAGTGAGTCATCGTCTCTAATGCAGCAGAGAGTGATGGGCTGTATCTTCTAGAATCATGACATCAAGGAACACCCAGCTCTGAGGTCTGAAGAAAGAGACTTCCTTTCATTCTGATTGCTCTCTGGATACAGAGTCTGTGATCTAGCAGGTGATGAGGTGACTTCTCAGTAGGCTTGCATGCTCATGCTTCACCCATGCCAACAAAATACAAAAAGTAATCGCAAAGGCTGCTTCCTGAGATTTGCAGCTGTCAATTCTGTCAGCATTTCTTTGCACGTGAGTGAAGAGCTCAGTGAAAGGAAATAGATGGGAAGAGGATGCCTTCACAACAGAAGTATTTCCAAAGTTTATATTTATAAATCAGAGAGGTGGCAATAAAAAGTAAACATGTTAATTTATGACCAATACCTATTTCTTAAAGACTGGATCCTGACTGTTAATTTTCTACAGCTTTGTCCAGTTTAGTTTTAAATATTTTAAGGATGGTACTTTTGTTAGTTTCTCTGAGCTAGGTACACATTCAGGCTAATTATTCCTCTGAATAAAGTCAATTATTTACTATTAGTAATATTTTCATAATACACCCAACAGTCTCTTCCCTTCCTTGGAGCATAGCATCTGCGGACAGTGGGAAGGGAGTATGTCCGCTTACCCCTTTGTGGCACCTAAACCTGTTTATCCCTGGTTATTGTTCAACAAACTGAGTGCGTTCAACTTTCCTCATAACTGACTTCCTTTGTAAGTGCTCAGCCCTAGTCTTTTTGTCCATCCCATCCAATTGATGAGCTCTCCTGAGGGGGTCATGCTTTTTTTTTTTTCCTGCTATGCAAAGTATTCGTAGTGCGGGGAGTGAGTGACGTAATATGACCTGGGAGTTTCCCAGCTGTGGTCCTCAGCTAGGTCATTTGCTAGAAGTATTGTGCAGGGATCTGTTGTTCAGGTCAGTATTCTTGTGGTCTTAGATTAAGGCTGTGTGTAGGTTTTTTCAGTATGATGGATAAGAGGTGGTGTCTGCAGCAACTCAGCATAGGTGATACTGACTGATGTCTGTAAGTTTCCTAGCAATGACCTGACAAGGTGTAACCCAATGATAACAGTTCTTGCGTTCAGAGTCCTTCCTATCTAGTTCAGAGTCTACGAGTCCCTCTTGTGCTGGATTTTTGGGGTTCCTTTATGGTGTTGCTCTCCACTTTACGTGGAATTTTTGAATTTCTTGTAAATCGGTGTCTCTTCTTTTGTCGGTGTTTCGGATATCAACAGTTTCCAGCCTTCTCCTTACTGAAACTTCTTCCTGAGCATTTGCGATCTTTTCTGTCTCAGGTGGCCTGGGGGATACTCAGTTTAGCTTCCGCCTTCGTCAGTCTGGGGGACAGAGGACCGCTCATTATGAGGATGATGGCGAGTACAATAGAGAAGCGCCCCTAACACTACAGGTCAGTTGCACTTCAGTGCACTACTTTTATGTGCAAAGTAAACAGTAGTGTTACTGGGTTTAAAATCCAAATACGCTTTTGGATTTGTGCTCTTTATGCGTAGATAATTTTTTTCTGGATCTTTTCCCAGGCCATGGGAATAGTCCAAAAAGCTGAAAGCTTTCAGCGTAAGGACTTATTTCCACATTAATACACATAGCGGGCTGTGTTGTTGATAGTCCCAATTATTCTGAGAGATGAAACTGAGTCTGGAGGAGACCAGATTAGAGCGATGGTCATGTCTAGTCATGGGAAGGGATAAAGGTTAGAAGCCTGAGGACCTGCAATAGAGTGCACGGCCACCCATGCAAACTACCACGAGGCAAGACAAGGTGTGAATATCCTTGTCTGTGGTAAATAAGAGATGTTTAACTTTTTGGTTGAGGTATGACAGTTCTTTTCACTTATTGCAGGATGCATGTATGTAAAAACAGCCAGAGTACTTAGTATGGTACAAATCCACGCTTGGCTTGCTGCACGCTGGCTGGTTTAACCATACCTGAGCGCTAATATCAGGAGTGTCCATTTGGTTTTTTTTCCATCAATGAACTATCTGTTCACTTCACGCAGAGGAGGGATGTACTGAGCGCAATTACTTCTCTTACTAGTGCAGATGGCCATCAGATCAACTTGTTCTCTTTCTCCTTTTTGTCAGATGAGATAACACTTCCTGTGCCTTTTAACGCTTCTGAAATCCCTTTGTGATATGCTTTAAGAAATAGATTGCTGGTCTGAGAGGGAGTGGGAGGATTTATTTTCCTAAATACTAGTATGAAGATTTTTCGTTTTGCATGCATCTTTGTTGCTTTGTAGCAGTCAGTAAAAGGAGGCTGCCTCCTAGATTCACCTGACTTTAAAGGAGTAAGGCAAGCAAAACTATCAAGCTACTGGGTTCTGCTGTGGGGAAAATAATGTTTGAAAAGGGAAAGGTGCCTTAATCTGTGAGTCCTATGATGCCTCAAGAAATGAAATTAAGGATGATTTAGGTGTTTGGAACTGAAATCTATTCCTTCTCTTCATGTTTGTGGGAATTTAGAGGGCCTAGAGTGTTTGAAATGATCACTGGGGATTTGTATTAAAATCTGTTAGTTTTCATTAATGCTCTGAAAGTCATCATTCAGCTTTGTGCTGTAGCCTTCATCCTTAGTGAAGTTTGACTGATATTGCCTTAAACGCCTAACTAAAGAGGAGTGCGACTGGTGCAGCTCAGGACATTTCCTCCTCTCAGAAGATGATGTATTGCTTCCTCAGCAATACATTATCCTCTAGCTGGGGAAAGAAACTGACTGTTAGACCAGATCGGTATGTGGTAGCATGGAGTGCCAGGATTAGCCCACTGGAATGGCTCAGTTGCTCGTCTTAGTGGAAACTTCAATTAAGCCTTTGATGACTGCCTTGAAGAAGCTACAAAAAGGGGCTAGTGAAAGACACTACTTTGAGGCTACCTTTTTTCGTGAATTTAGTTGGTTGTATTTCCTCTTATCTTCCCACTGGGTAAACTCTCCCGGGTAGGCAAACATGGATAGTTTTGAAAATAGGAGGTAGTACTGTAATTGTATCACAGCGAGAGTGAGGTACATTGTTTGGTCAGTGGCTGGAGGGAGTTTGGCAATAGCAGTAATAGGTTTCTTTATAACAGTATTGTTGGCCTCTCTTGCAGCGGGAGTCAGCTCATTACTTTGGTTATGTATACTTCAGGCAAGTCAAGGACAGCTCAATGAAGAGAGGTTATTTTCAGAAGGTGAGTACTGAAACCAGATAGCTTGCTGCTCTCAACTGGTATGTAGCTGTAAAAAGGCACCTATCCATAGCTGTAAAGTAGCACCGCTTCCTACGTGACAACCACAGTGTTTCTGTGGGAAACAGCAAGGGTCACTGAGAACAGGAGTATGTGGAAAAGGCAGTTCCAAACAAGCTTGGATGTGGTTGCCATGGTGTGTTAATCACATGAGCAGCGACCTGCAGTGTCTGAATCATGGGATCCTCAAGTACTTAAGCACTCCCTTTAGTATGTGCTCCTAGTGTCACAGATACCGAGACAATATACTTTATCATTGTAGTCTCTGCTCGTTATAACATAACTTGACCCTTATTATTGTGTTAATCTTTACTCTTCCTAGTAGCCATCTGGGGATAGATTTCCTGCTGGGCTGATTGCTTCTAACTAGTGGCAGTGACGCTGCTGTTACCTCACCAACCTTGTCATTTGTCATAAATTGCTTTGATACAGACATTGACAAAATTAATATAAACTTCATGTTTATTTCAGTAGAAAAATGCAATTTGCTTAGTGTTATTCAGACCGATAGGTATAATCACTGCCTGAACGAGAGCAGAATTTCAGAATCTTTCTAGAGAAGGAAGATGTTTTGCTTTGATCCTATGATCCATTTTTTCTCTGTGGATCCATGGAATTATGCTTCCAGTAGTGATATTTCACATCAAAAAATAAAACGCCACCCTACCAAACAAAAGAACTTTGAATACCTGCTGTTCAAAGAGCAATGCTTTATGATAGGTCAGTCTGGTAACTTGTTGGAAAACGGGGCGGCTATTCTGTTCCAGCAGTTACTGGCCTGCTGTGCTTTCTCTCATTCGTCTCTAGGCAGTAATATGGAGTTTCTTTCTAAGAGACTTGCTAATAAGAAATCTGTTTCATCAGCTCTGGTAAAGCAGTGGGTTGATCGTTCAAAAAGTTAGAGGATAACGGGAAAACTGGACAACATGGGTACCCAATGAACAGATATTTATACCAGGATAATGTGCTTGCTCTTTGATAGACTTAAAGTAGTGGGTGCCTTACATTCTTGAATAAAGTGTGCTTGGATGTTCTTTTATTTCAAATGTCAAAAGTTTTGAATCGGAAAGGAGGTGTTCAGTTGAGGATTGTAGAAATATTCGCTGGATCCTAATTAATGTATTCATTAATGATTAGAGAAGGAGAATAACCAGCATAATAATGAAATCCTCGATGGGACTGAATTGTAAAAGTTATAAAAACTAGTAACATATTCCATAAAGAAACATTAGGAGGAAGCCCCCCCTCCCCCCCGCCCAAATGTATCACTGGAAACAAATTAACATTATTTCAAGTTATTTTGTTTATGTTTTTCTCCCCAGTATTCCTTTATTTTGTTTATCTTCCTAATCTCTGATTTAATGGTCTGATCCTTTGCACTTTTCTGTCTGTTAGTGTTGTTTTGGTAGCTCTGAATATGTCAGCAATTTATTTTTCTTTTTCCTTTAGCTGATCTTTTGCTGAGTCACAGACTCACCCCTCCTAGTTGCAGTGGCTCCCTTGCAGAAGCTGCCAGCTGTACTTATTTATTTATTAATCAAAATACTCCTTGTGGATACCCAGAGTCTCCCTAAACCTGAAGACTCAACTACTAGATAACTAGCAAGAATTCTACTGGTAAAGGCGGTGCTGCTTTGGAGTTCCTGCATGTTGTTGATGTTGGTTGTTTAACTGTTGCCCTCTAGTAAGCAATGTAGGTGTATGGAGTGCTAGAAATAATCACGACAGGGCAGTTCTGACTCCTAAATGTATGTTTTTCAGTCTTTGGTGCTAGTGTCGCGCCTTCCATATGTGAACTTGTTCCAGTCATTGCTGCAACTGATTGCACCGGAATACTTTGATAAGCTGGAGCCGTGCTTGGAGGCAGGTGAGCAATCAGACCCTAAGGGGGACAGTTTGCATATTGAAATGTTTCAGTAATTTTATAAGGAGACTCCTGAAAGACAGCTGAAATGTTCCAAATTAGTTCATTCTGAAACAATTTCCAACAGCGAGAAGAACTATCATCCAAGTGGTTAGCTTGTCAAAATTATAAACAGCTGTAAAGGATGCTTTAATGGGAAACGTCTGACAATCTTAATAGATGAACTGTCAGTTTTGCATACAGTGTATTCCCAAAGAGGAAAAAATTGCTAGTGTTACATCTCTTTCTAGGTCTTTATTGCACTATTCAACTTAATCATGATTTGTCAACAGTGTAGTGCTGCTGGTCTGCACTGGAAGTGGTAGTGCAGATGTAAGTCTGATGCCTGACCTAATTGTGCACAGTTATTTGATGTATTGTTTTTTGGAACTAGCCAAGAGATGCGAGAGCAGGGAGCGAGTGACAAGTAAATGGGCAGAATTCATAAGAACAGCTGGATTGTTTTTGGATTAAGTCTTTTTTTTTTTTTTCCTGCTTGTATCCCTGCAGTGTGCAATGAGATTGATCAGTGGCCGCCTCCTGTGCCAGGGCAGACTTTGAACCTTCCAGTGATGGGAGTTGTAATTCAGGTACTTGTTGGTGATGATATGTACTCAAGCAGCAGACTGAGACAAACTGGAAAGTGGCACATCTATTCTCTTCTCTTCTGGATGTTAACATTGATGTTGACTCTAGATTCTTTCCCTTTACTCCTAATGCCTGCACAATTAGAATAGATAATTGAGGAAGTTTTCTTAAGTAGGAGCTTGTTAGGGACAGCAAAGTGCATACGTATGTTAGCTGAATCCTTCTCCCTGGATAACCTGTCTGTTCTTATTTGTAATCTAGGTGAGAATCCCATCCAGGGTGGATAAGCCAGGATCAAGCCCACTGAAGCAATTTAATCAAGAGGTGAGATGAAGTGTGAGATGAAACAAGCCAGTGATGAGCAGAACCTAGATTACTAAGTAAGGAGGATGTAGAAGAAATGGAACTATTTAGGCCTTGTCCCATTTGGAGCCCCACTGTCCTGGGATTGATGTAGTTTTCAGCTACCCTTCTAGTTCAAACTGAAGCACTCACACCTGTGCCTTTCAGAATAGGAACCTCTGCACAGAATTTAAGTGTACTTTAAGTTATACACGTATATTTTTTCACAGTTTCCTTTTATTTACCTTTGCCTTTCCTGGGAATCCATGCAGAGGTAGACCTCCAAGAGATCCTACCTTAGTCTCCTATGTAACTTTGCAGCTCTAAATATCTTTATAACTTTGACTATCTCGATTCCTGTTCGTTTTATCTTTTCCTTTTTCCCCTCCCTTTGAATAGTGTTGTCACCTTTCACACATTTCTGAGCTTTCAGCACCCACAATACCAAGCCCTTACTGTCTTTATCTGTATCTTGAGCTCTGCCTTTAGACAGAGGAAACTATAGAAAATAAAGGAACAGACTTGGAAAGTCACATCTTGAGAAGGAGGAGTTCTTGGCTATCTTCTGAGAAAGGAGATTCACTTGGGCTTTGAATGTACCATCCAGATCTGTTCCTGGCTCATATCTCCAAGCGTTAACCTTCTTCTCTTCTTTTTATTTTTATGCTTACTGTGGAGGGAACTACTTTGTGATTGGTGTGGGCAGTTGATGGCATTTCAGTCAAATTGCTTCCATTTACTAGCAGGTTTTTTTTTCCTTCCTTATTTAGAATCTGTTACCAGCCCCACTGGTTCTCCCCAGTATTCATGAACTGGATCTTTTCAGGTGAGAGCTAACATCCCTACAATGTTCTTCTCCCCATCCGCTTTCCCTCCACACCATGCAGAGTATCCTCTAGATCACTGGGATAGTGAAGACATCAAATGAGGGATCAAAAATTTTTGCTTTTCGGAGTGTTATCTGGAATACTGGGCTTGTGGGGCCTGTGCGGTATTTAAACCTGTGTTTACTGTCCTTAACAAATCTGCCTGGATCCTGGTTAGAGGAGTTTTGTTTTTTTTTTTTCCTTGACCTCAGCTGGCAATCAGCTTAAGTCCTGAAGCCTACACATTGTGCTTCTGAACCAAACTTTTCAGCACTGTAGATGCTATTCTAATGAAGATATATCTGTTCTAATCCTCAGGCACTTTATTTTGCTCCGATGAAAAAAGAATACCGAGAGAAATATAATCCGCAGGTTGCTTTACATTGCTTAGAGCATTTCCTTTAACACGTATAAAAATGGTTGAGTAGCAGCATGCATAAAGACATGTGGTGTTCTGTTTGCAGGATACTAAAACTCCATCCTAGATATCAAAGGTCCAGATAGTGGCAAATCTGGATATGCTTATATGCATTACTAGAGTCTGATCTTTTCTGAACTGCACTTCTAACCTCAGCTTGTCATTCCTCCTTTCACTAATAGATGTTTCCAGCCAGTGTTAATTCATATCCAGATGTTATGGGAGCTGATGTTACTAGGAGAGCCAATTGTTGTAATGGCACCATCCCCGACAATTTCTTCGGAAATGGTTCTGGCACTTACCAGGTAATGCCCTTGAATTCTGAGACATAAATAACTATAATACATTCTGGCAGTTCTCTTTTGGATTCACTCTTCTGCCAAATCAGTTGTGTTAGATTTAGTTTGCCTATGAGAGCATGCAAGGTGGGGTATAGCTCAGTGGCAGAGCATTTGACTGCAGATTAAGAGGTCCTCGATTCAAATTCGGGTGCCCTTTTTTGGGACCAGATACACCCTCAACAAGTTTGCAGATGATACAAAAATGGGAGGAGTGGCTAGTATAACAGAGGGCTGTGCTGCCATTCAGAGGGACCTGGACAGGCTGGAGAAGTGGGCAGAGAGGAATCTCGTGAAGTTCGATACAGGGAAGTGCAAAGTCCTGCCTCTGGGGAGGAATAACCCCATGTACCAGGACAGGCTGGGGGGCTGACTGGCTGGAGAGCAGCTTTGTGGAGAAGGACCTGGGAGTCCTGACCTGGTGGACACCAAACTGAATACAAGCCAGCAATGCACCATCTCGCTAAAGGCTAGCGGCATCCTGGGCTGCATTAGGCAGTGTTGCCAGCAGGTCGAGGGAGGTGATCCTTCCCCTCTACTTAGTACTGGTGAGGCTACGCCTGGAGGGCTAGGTCCAGGTTTGGCCTCCTCAGTACAAGGGAGACATGGAGCTGCTGGAGCAAGTCCAGTGAAGGGTTGTAAAGATGATGAAGAAACTGGAGCATCTCTCGTACGAGGAGAGGCTGAGAGAGCTGGGACTGTTAAGCCTGGAGAAGAGAAGACTCAGGGGGATCTCATCAATGTTTATAAGTATTTGAAGGGAGGGTGTCAAGAGGATGGGGCTTTCATTGGTACCCAGTGACAGGACAAGCACCAGTGGGCCCAAACTGGAGCACAGGAAATTCCAGATGAACACAGGAAAACACTTCTTCACTGCGAGGGTGACAGAGGACTGGAAAAGGTTGCCCAGAGAGCTAGTAGTGTCTCTATCCTTGATGGTATTCAACACCCAACTGGGCACAGTCCTGGGCACTGTGCTCTAAGTGACCCTGCTTGAGCAGGGGTGTTGGACCAGGTGATCTCCAGAGGTGCCTTCCAACCCCAACTATTCTGTGAATCCCTGAAGAAACAGCATAGCAAGAAAGTATTGCTTGTATTCCGTCAACTGTAGGAAGAGTGAGTCTCCCTTGTTGGGAGACCTGAAAGTTCATAGACCAAATGCAATTTTTCATTCCTTCCACCTGAGGATCCTCATCTGCCCAGCTTTGAACTCTGCTTTAGGAACAGTCCCAGCCTGGAACTTCTCCATATCATTACCTCTATCAGGTTATTAACCTGATGCAAACTCTTATCCTCCTCTTTGAAGTTTATAAGGCAACTATTCTCTACATCTGTTCTTACAGCTGTCTTGCTCCACTGAAGTACTGTTGTGACTACCGTCCCTATTTCACTATCCATGATAGTGAATTTAAAGAGTACACCACCAGGACACAAGCTCCGTAAGTAGCCAATAGAGCCTTGCTACTCACTTGCCACCATCTGTATGAAGGAAACTGTGAGATTAGCATGGTCCAGATTTCTCCTTTTTTCTCTTTCTAGGCCAAACATCGTTGTGGGAGTCACAAACCCTTTCTTCATCAAAACACTCCAGCACTGGCCACACATTCTTCGGGTTGGAGAGCTCAGAATGTCAGGTAAGGGTGGAATCAAAGTCCTGTTGTGCTGCTGGACCTTGTCACAGATTAGCACTGAACTGACAGTTGCAGTGCTGGCAGTCATTTTGCACATCTTCGTTCCTGTGAGAACTGAGAAACCAAAAAGAACGTTTGGCTCTGTTGATGGGCAAGCTTGGTATGAACAATGGTGAAGGCAAACTGTTGAGAAGATAACTTGCTGTGATTTTTATGAAGCACTAAGAAAATGAAAATCCTTTCTGGACAGGAAAGAGAAAATTGCATAGACAAGAAGGTCTTGAGAGATAAATTCCAGTTATTATCTATGAAGCCAAGAAAGCTGCCTCACTTTGGGCTGAAGAGTGCTTTTTTTGCAATGACTCCCTAACACCTTCCTAGTTCAAAATTTTAGCGGAGAGTTGGCAGATGAGAAGACTCGTGTGAGGACGGAGTTGAGGGAGGATATGATTTAAGATGTACAAATATAGCAGTGGATGTTCTTGGTCACAAAGTCTCTCGTGTGCATGCTGTGGCTATGAGGATAGATTCAGAGCCTGAACTATTTGCTTTGGGGTCTTTCCACAGGAGACCTGCCCAAGCAAGTTAAGGTGAAGAAGCTAACCAAACTAAAAACTCTAGACACAAAACCAGGTAACTCCTTTTTTCAGACATAGTTTAATTTTGTTTACTCTTTCACCTGGGCAATTTTGTATGTTTTGCAGGGACGCGAACATTGCGTACATTATTCTTCATATCTAAACAAATGGACATTTTGGTGTTGTTACCTTCTCATGCTTGATCAAGCTACACAGTCCCTTGTAGTGGCATCCACCACCTAATGCAGAAAAGCTGTGCATCTCTTTGTTCTGAGATTGAAAAGGCCCTATAAATGGAATGAGCAAATTATTTTAGTGTTGGGAAAGAGGAATTTTAATTTTCTTTTTTTTGTTTTATATATCTATTTTTAGATGTGATGGGAGTCAAAGGAACTTGCTAACCTAGATACAGCCATCTGTCACTAAGCTAACTGCTCAACTCAGATCTAGCCATAAGTTGACTCCCAGTAGTTATCTCAGCATAGCATAGGAAGGTCCTTGAGCTAGTTTAGAGTCCTTTAATCCTGCTGTGAGTACTGGCTGCCTTAGCAACTTTATGATCTTGGGAGGCCTTAGTAATTAACCCCCAAACACACACACCTGGCAATTGTTACACACAATTTCATTTCTGTTATCCCTGGACTGTGTAATGGGACCTCCTCTAGATATATGAGCAAAGACTTGTTTCTAACTTCTGGGATTTTTTTGGTTTTGTATTTTTTTTTTTCCACTCTAGGAATCTACACCTCTTATAAAACTTTTCTTCACAAAGACAAAACGCTGATAAAAAGATTATTAAAGGTAAACATTTCTAATTCTATCCCACATCCTGTATATCATTATGGGAAGATTGTTCTAGCAGCCTGGTTTGAACAGTCAAAACCCTCCAAAAGGAGCAGACTTTTCTTTGATCCGATATCTTCCATTTCGGTTTGATCTTAGTGTGTAATTTGATTTTAGTGTTGTAGTGGTTTAGTCCAGTATACCTTGAACATATTTGTTCATGCTAGTTTTAAAACTTTTCACTTGATATCATGGGTTAAACCCTGGAACTATGGTGACCTAAGTGAGAGCAATCATTGTCAAGAAAGGGTCTGCAAAATCGGTTTCTAGTAGTGAAATGTGAGTGACATCTTTAACCAGAGTGCAGAGTGTGTATTTTGAGCAGTACAGTCTCCTAGACTGCTTATGGGCTGGTTGCTTATAGTTGCAGTGTGTGCAAGTTCTGTGTCCGTCTCTGTGAACGCCCTGCTTGTGTTTGCAGGGGATTCAGCGGAAACGCCCGTCTGAAGTCCAAAGCGCCCTTTTGAGGCGTCACCTCCTGGAGCTCACCCAGAGTTTCATTATTCCACTGGTAAGTTGAGCAGAGACTTGTCAGTGTGGTGTAAGGGTGAGGGGAGATGAGCAGGAGATGCCTGAGTGACAAGTTTGTACTCACCCTCTTTTATTCACCCGTGACTGAGCATCTGTAATAGAGTCAGGATGTGGCACTCTAGAGATGTTTTACTCCTTGGAAAAGAATAAATGTCTCTTGATTGCGAATTTCAATAATTAGCATAAAAGTCTGCAGGCTGGATATTCAGCACTTCATGTGTAAGGATAGAACAGTGTTTGTTTCCTGCAATGCAGGGATAGTTTTCCCCTGTGGTTTGATTCTAATGCTAATTCTTTGATTCTAAAGGCTAATTCTTGCCACAGGGTAGTCAAAGCAGACGTATAGGGAAGGGACAGGAGCCCCGGATGTTGCCCTTTTGCTGAAACGCCTGGAGTCCAACCCACTGCCAGTGGGAACCCCTCTCTTCTGGTTCTGAAAAGCTCTGCTGTAGAGCTTAAGAGGCCTGTCCATGGAGTGATAGCCGTCCTAAGGCAGATTTTAAAAAATGCTTTATTTCAAGGCCTTTCCTGTCTCATCCCACTAGAAAGCTGCCAGTACCTTTTGATGATTGTGCAGTGGACACGTTATGCTCCTCCACACTCTTTTCTATGTCACCTTATGAGGAAGTAAATGGGAGGACAGAGCATCTTCTCAGATTCTAGTCCCTCCTGCCAGCTTCTTCCCTTCTCATTTGGCCTGCTTAGAATTCTTGCAGCATGTAGTATCCTGACCTAACTCCTGGTGGGAAAAGAGCAAGCTGGAAAACTTAGGCTCATGTAAATGATACACACCTATAAAGGAAAAGTGAGAGATACTAGGAGGGCTGTGCCTGTGACGCATTGGAGAAGATCTGAACGCTTGGTGACCATGCAAGAGGCTTCCTGATTGTTCTAACATCTGTTTTTTGGTGTTTCTTCTTAGGAGCATTATATTGCAAGTCTGATGCCCCTGCAGAGAGCCATTACTCCATGGAAGGTATGTTCAGTTTTCCAGGCTCTTGTGCTTCCTTTTGACCGCAGGGATTGGGAATAGTTATGTCATATGCTGATCACGTACTCTGACACACTGCAAACCTCCCTGATTGAAGGAAGAAGGCTATTGCTCCTTTTTAAAAAAATAAATAAATAAAAGTTGAAACAAACATTGGGACAGATGCTTCCTGTTTTGCAGTAATTTTAGCTCAGCTCAGCTATTGCGAATCTGTAATTTGAATTTTACTAGCGTGGCAGGTTAAGATTTTTCATGCATTTTTGATTCTCATAGTTATCGAATCTGTCTTGAGCAGCCTCTTCCGTTATAAATATAAACTGCGTTTTCCTCCAGTTTCTTCTGTGTGCTGTGTAATATGCTCTTTGTGTTGTGCAGAATCCCCCGCAGATTCGTCCGTTCCGACAGGAAGATTTCATGAAGACCCTTGAGCATGCTGGTCCCCAACTTACCTGTGTACTTAAAGGTGACTGGTTAGGCCTCTACAGGTAAGAGTATGGCAATTATTTCTTTAAGGCTTTGTTGCCTTAATAGCAACTCCAGGTTATAAAGAATGTCAAATCCTGAATTACAGTCAGCAGTGAAAAGGGAATTTCAGGACAGAGATTGCTCACCTGAAAAAACCCATGCCTTTGAAGAACTGGTTCAGTAATAATAGCCAGGAAAAGTAAATAAAGGGTAGAAACAGTCCTGTGTTTTATGTAATCTCTTAAATGAGTAGCTACAGTCAGGTTTAGAAGCTGTAAACTCGCTTGCTTCAAGAACATCAGCTAACCCCTCATTGAGGTAGGGGACCCCTCGTTGAAGATGGGGACTTATCTCTGACACCAGCTGTCACTTACTGTCTTCCAGGAAATCTTTCTGTTTCAAGTTTCTGGCCCTTATCAGGGCCTGGGGTAGAAGGATTTGTAAGTCTTCATCCTATGAGTTTGTACAGCATTCAGTACAATGGCCATCTCATTCTGAGTGCAAACAGGCAGTACTATTAGAACATTAAAAGATGCAGTTTCTTCAGAGTGGAATTTAAGAGAGCATATAGAAGAGTTTGCCCATAGTTCTCCTAAAGGACAAATAGGGTAGCACAGACACTCCTTATAGCATGAGTGGGAAAAAGCCAGAAAGCAGGTAACCACTTGGAAGAAAAAAGGGACACGCACTGATGCGGCAAGGGAAAAAATCCAGAAAGTTAGCAGTGACAATAATTATGGATCAGTAGTATATTGTGTAGCTGTGATAACATTTGTACCATTTTATGCTTTAATGTACTCTGCAGAAAACAAAAAATTCTGTTCTTTATGACATGGGTGTGGCAGAGAGATTTAATTTTGGATAGCTAATATTTTGGAAAACAGCAACAAACAACAAGTTGTTTCAATAAATCGGTTGGGGTTTGCAGGGAACTGATGGAGGGGCTTATGCATTCCAGGGTTCTTAACTGTGTGAAATTGTGTACATATACTATTTGTTGCTCTATTCCTAAGTCAAACCCTTAATTAAAAAAAAATCTGTCTGTATCACAGCAGCATTTTGAGATCTTGGCTGAGATTAGGACTCCATTGTGTTGGGGAGAAGGAGCAAGGAAAAGAGTCCTCATGGTCGCAAAAAGAAAATTCACAAACGTCAACCAAGTTCTGCTGATAAAGTGTTCCCTGCAGATAGCCTGAGGAAGAGCGATACTAGGCGGTCGAGTCTCAATAGCGGAAAATGCTGAAATATGACATTTGAGATATCCCAATGCTAATGAAAGACTTTACAAAGAATGTCCTGTTACAGTGCCTGTTCTCTAGCTCTGTATGACATCTTAAACCATCTCATCTTTTTCTTTATCTGCTGCCACAACCCTTATCTTTCAGTTAACAAATTTTAATCCCATTTTGAATTTGATCTAAAATTCTATAACACTGAAATAGAAACAGGTACTGTGCTCTCCACTGCTCACTTTCACAGTTGGATCAGCAAAAATGGAGGTTTATTACTGCGTACTGCACTGGAGAGGTGTAAATTACACATCCTTTGACATAGGCTAACTGATAACTTGTTTATGTAGGAGAAACGTAAACCACCAATTATATGCAGCTTAGATCAATGCCAGCAAGTGGTTGAAAGGTGTAAGCATCAAGAAAGGAGAGGAAATGAGCAGGATACTGCAGAGGAATATGAATTTCGTTCCATGGTTCAACCATCCTAGGTGTTATAGCTCCAAAGGAAAACTGTGCCTAAACAAGGCTGCAGAGGAGCAAAGAGCACCACTTCCACTTGGCTCAGGCTTGAGCTGGTGCAAAGGAGGGTGTGAGACTGGCCGGATTGCCCCTCACGAGCAACAAGCTGCTAAAGCTGCTCAGCTGTATCATGTTAGTGCTTGACAGAACAGAAGCCTCTGGAGTGGACAAGATGCAAAAAGAGCTTATTAGCTCATTATCAGTCCACTTCCCTAATGACACCGTGAATCAGATTGTCTTTTCCTCTCATGTCTATGTCTGCTGTAGTAGGAAGGGAAATCAGCGTGGCATGGAATCACCACACGTCTCTGAATCCTTCTCTGTCCCCTTTTCAATGTCACCTTGCTTCTTGCAGGCGTTTTTTCAAGTCTCCCAACTTTGATGGCTGGTACCGTCAGAGGCACAAGGAAATGACCCAGAAACTGGAAGCCCTTCACTTGGAAGCAATCTGTGAAGCGGTATGTTCCAGCTGCAGGTATTCTAACCAATGCCAACCTTCTCAGGCCTGAAGCCTGGGAGATGAGGGCATTGCTACTTTGCATACTTCTTAATGCATCTTGATTCTGCTCATGGATGGGGTGCTTTGTGCCCTTAGGAAATACAGTTCTGCCTCGTGACTATCAGTGCACAGGAATAACAGCACATGTGGGGGTCAAGGATATGAACAGTCCAGCTCCCCCACTTTGTCAGCCAATGCAAAACCTGCTTTGGCTGCTTCTGGCAACTATTTTTTCATTCATCAGGCCCTTCCCAAGCCAACTGAGCCCCAGACTGGAAGCATCCTCTGTTGCTGGCTTCCTTAATGCCTAGTGAAAATAGGTAGGAATTTTAGCAGTGACTGCGGTACAGTTTCTTAAATTGAGCAGCTGCTGGGATAGTCCCAGGAGCTCTGGCATCCTGCTCGGGTGCATTTTCAACTGCAGTGCTTGCTCCAGTGTTCAGCAGTGCCAGTCCTCAAGCACAGTGTGGGAATGCCAAAGCTGTCTCCTTTTTTAACAGGCCTGACTCTGGCCCTGGCAGATAGAGGTAAATTCTGAGCACAGCACAAGATTCGTGGTGCTGACTGGAGGAGGGGGACCCTGCACCGTCTGCGTATTGCTGCATCTTTCCTTGATTCTTCTCTTGCAGGCAAGAGCATGATGCTGTCGTGGGCAGAAAACTGGGGAGAGCGCTCTGTCTTGCTCATTTAGGCTTAAGTACTGCAGGCAGAGTTGTGAAAGAGTTTTTATTTTCAGGCTTTGCCTAGGGGTAACTCTTTGAGAAAAGCTCTGTGAAGAAAGAAGGTTCCTGAAGAAAACTGTTCTTCTCTTTCCTTAGAACATTGTGGCCTGGATGAAGGACAAGTCGGAGGTGGAGATTGTAGACCTGGTGCTAAAACTACGTGAGAAGCTGGTAAGTTTTCTTTCCTTTTTCCTGCACTCATTCCTTTCGTTCGATATCTCTGTGGCAGGGAATGATCAGGGACATAGGTCACACTTGATGCTTAGAAAACTTTGTTCCTGCTCCCTGTCTTGGAGAACTGGCAAACGGGACAGTCATGAAATTTTAGTGTTTGCATAACAGAAGATTCAAAGTTCTGTCTCTTCTCATTTCATTAAGGCTGAGGTAACAATTTCCTGTCTGTTATCTCTCGCCCTGAGTAAAGAGCTGACATGAGGTTTGCTCAGCCAGTGGCAAAGCAGGAGGAGGTTTTTGGGGCTGTTTTAAAATTCCTCCCTTTCTCTCCTCTTTCTCCCTGTAGGTAAGAGCCAGGTGCCAGCATCTCCCTGTGAAGGAGGAAACTCTTCAGAGGGTGGGCCTTTATATTGAGACCATCATTGGCTCATTGCCAGAGGATCTCCAGACAGTGCTGCATCACCACTGAGCAAAATGAGGGGACTCTACTGGAGAAGGAAGGGCCCTCCCACCTTATTCCAAGTGTGGACAGCCACAGTTGCATTTGGAAAGGAAACTTCTCTGACATCCAGCTGACATCAGCTGATCTGAATTTTGCTCGTAAACGTGTATGATTTTGAACACGTGAGCATGTAGATCAGAGCTGTAGCAGAAATGGCGAACCATGTGCACTTTTTTCTGCCCAGTCCTGCTTTGAGGAACTGGGTTAGGGATCCGTAAATGAACAACCGTTCCCTGTGTAGCCACACAGGGAGTAGTATGTCCGAAAGTGGCAGGCAGGCTTCCAGCAGCATGTGATAGGCCGTTTGTTGCCCATGTATACACATCAGTCTTTGTCTAGTGCTTGGGCTCTCAAAATTTCAATACCTTCATCCTGCCTACAAGAGGCAGGACCAGTCCTGCGTCGGGAGAGTTGGTTTCCAGGCAGCTCTTCCTGCTAAAGAGAGGGATGCTAGTCCCCAGCATATAGAAGGTGTGAAAAAATTGTCATTGGCTGTTCAGCAGCCTGACTCGTGCCAGGGAGAGCTTCAGCTGTACTGGGAGTGGGAGACTGAATTGCTAGATTTGGAATGCTCTTGTTTTTCTTGTTGTTTCTTGTTTTCACCAAGGCAGAGGTGGAGAGGAAGAAGGGGCAGGTGTACCTGCAGGGAAGAGAACTCTCCAGAAATTGCATGTATGTGCTATGTGAGTAGCAATAGGTACTGAAGATCCACAGAGAGGAAATGGGCTCCAAACACACTTTATTCTGCCTGGAAAATTAAGTCTGTGCACTCTGGTAATGTACAAGAGAGCTGGAACTCTCCCCTGGACAATGAGATATCTAATGTGCAACCATCTCACGTGCCATTGCAGTATGGTGGAGGTTCTCTTCTTTCCAATCTGTCACCCTTGCCAAGTGGAAATCCACACAGTGGCCCGCATGTAGGTGTGCAGGTGCTGCTGCCAGAGGTGCATGCTCACCCTGCTGAGGTCGGGGAGGAGCAGCCTGACAGATCGTTTCAGGCTATGTCTCTCTGCTTAGCGCTACCTGGCTTGCAGGTCTGTCATGCTCCCTTTCACCTCTTGGGAAAGGGTTGAGTATGTGCTTCTGGGATGAACGTATGAAAGACTTGAGGCTCCACTGCCAGTTTTGGATGCAGTTGCCCTCTGCCTGAAAGAGCAGTGTTTCTGTCAGCTGCCCTGGAAATGGATTTACCATAGCCCTGGGGCAGTCTCATAACTACTACTACTGTAATTGTATTTCACCATCTGCCCTTTTGGCCAAGGCCTGAATGTTTGCCTAAAGAAGAACGGTTTTTAGGATGGGTCTGGCAGCCAGTGCCCATCTGTGGCACTCTTCTGTAAAAAGCCCTAGAATGTACCTTTCCACTTAGTAGGAGTGTTCAGCATTTCAGCTGAGACCTGCACAAAGTTGTCTCAGGACCTCTGTAGGCAGTGCCAAGTATTTATGCAGAGGAAACTGTGCTCTTATGTTTCATTAGTAACCTCTGCCCATTGTGGCACTGCCTCTTAATTTATTGGGGGGGTGGGGGGAGCATATCAGTAAGTCACAACGGTGAATGAACCCTTCCTACGTTT